CTCATTTCTGCCGATTCCAACTAGCCTGCCAATTTGCAATTTATTTTTTTCTTCTTATGTAAAAGAAAAGGTGGATTGTTCGCTACCCTGTCTTCTCTTTAGAATGCATCATCCCAAAAATTCAAATTTCAATTTCAATTCTTTCATCTTCTCTTTCCCAAATTGTATCATCCCAAAAATTCAAATTTAAATTTTAATTTTCTCTCATTTTCTCTTTCACTCCTATTTTCCTTGAGATTATAAATCATTTTTGAATATAATTAAATCGAAAATTCTCATTTTTAACTTCACCGTTAGAAAAAAAAATTAAAATAAAATAAAATAAACGAAAATGAGACCGATCCATTTTTAAAACCAAATTAAATCAATAAAACTCATGAATGTTTCGGTCTAAAACATTTAAATTCGTTAAAAAGAAAATGATCGGATCAATCCCGAGAAGGATATCATTTCCAAGTGGCGCTTTTATGGATTTCCAAACCCAACATGACTTCAATTTATATCAAACTCAAAATGAAATTTCAAAAACCTTCTTCATTTCATAAAATATAGGATAACAATCCATAGGGAACATCTTTCTACACCTCTAAAAATCATACAATTATCAAAGCCCTTCAACTTCAATTTTAATCAAAAGCTCACGGGTAAGGCAACAACTCAAAACCAAAAAAAAAAAAAATCAAATCCAGTTAAATGAATAGGAAACTCACGGTTAAGGCATCAAACCAAAACCAAAAATAAAATCCAACTAAATGAATAGGAAGCTCATGGCTAAGGCATCATCCCAAAACCAAGACTCAAATCCAACATATATTTCAACAAGGGGCAGCAAGAAAAGTGAGATAAGAGCCCCCAGACATAATTTCTATCATTTAAAAAATGATATCCAGCATGTATTTCAACAAGGGGTAGCAAGAGAAATGAGATATGAGCCCCCAAACATAATTCCTAGCATTTAAAAATGACATCCAGCATGTATTTCAACAAGGAGCAGCAAGAGCAGTGAGATATGAGCCCCCAAACATAATTTCTAGCATTTAAAAATGATATCCAGCATGTATTTCAACAAGAAGTAGCAAGAGCAGTGAGATATGAGCCCCCAAACATAATTTCTAGCATTTAAAAATGATATCCAGCATGTATTTCAACAAGGAGCAGCAAGAGCAGTGAGATATGAGCCCCCAAACATAATTTCTAGCATTTAAAAATGACATCCAGCATGTATTTCAACAAGGAGCAGCAAGAGCAGTGAGATATGAGCCCCCAAACATAATTTCTAGCATTTAAAAATGATATCCAGCATGTATTTCAACAAGAGGCAGCAAAAGGAGCAAAACATAAGCCCCAAATGTGATTTCCAGCACTTAACATAAACTTCCAACATATATTTCAACAAATGGCAGCAAAAGGAGCAAAACATAAGCCCCAAATGTGATTTCCAGCACTTAACATAAACTTCCAACATATATTTCAACAAATGGCAGCAAAAGGAGCAAAACATAAGCCCCAAATGTGATTTCCAGCACTTAACATAAACTTCCAACATATATTTCAACAAAGGGCAGCAAAAGAAGCAAAACATAAGCCCCAAATGTGATTTCCAGCACTTAACATAAACTTCCAACATATATTTCAACAAATGGCAGCAAAAGGAGCAAAACATAAGCCCCAAATGCATCTTTCTCACTTCATAAAATAATTTTCAACATGCATTTCTTACTTTCTAACATTTCAAGCAATGAAAATAATAGAGACAGCCCTCCAACAGGCTTTTCCATAGACATTTATAAAGGAATAAAGGTGCATTTCTACCTTATCCTAACCATACTTTCGAATGCTTCAATTAAAGAAAATAAAAAAATGATCTATATGTGTATATTTCATTTCTCACTACCCTAAATAAATATTCATGCAAGCATTTTTTTATTTCAAGATTTCCAACCGCATGTCTCGAGCAAGACAACAAAACAGAGGAGAGGAAGAAGAATACCTCTTTCAGCAGATCTGAAATAAAACTATAAGAATGGCTAAAGAAAAGACCACTACAAATGCTCCACGTCACAAGCTTTCGAAATTTCTAGCTTAAAGAGGATTCCAACAACACTCTTCTTCCTCAAGAGTTCTTTCTTTCTTCCTCAAAAATTTTTAACAACTCTCAAGCAACAAAAGATGAGAAGGAAATGTAAGTTAGAAAAGATTTTGACAGCACCTTCCCCACTCCAAATTTCGGCCAACCTTAAAATCTTCCCCCAAATGGGATTTTATAAGCAATAGAGGAGATCAGCCACCTACCAGCCACCCTAGTAAGCAAATCGTGTGAGGGGAGAGGAGGAGAAAGATTTAAGGCAAGAGGAAATGCAGCCTAGGGCAGAGAAAGGGTCGAGCAGGTGGAGTTCCATCGTTGGAGGGCTGCTTGGTTGAGAGGAACTCGAGGAGGCCGCGTGCGTGAATGGACCGCGGAATGCCGCGAGAAGGCAGTCGAGCGAGATTGGCAAGGAGAGCCGCGGATCGTGGAGCTAGGGCACGGGCGAGGAGCGATCGCGGGATCGAGCCGAGCGCAAGATGGAGGATTTAATCGTGCCAGGAGAATGGGAAATAGATATTAGGGTTTTATAAATATTATATAATTAAAAAGAATAAGTATGAAAATACTTAATTTTTTAAAGTAAAAATTTGATTTGCACGTTTTAATTCGTGTGAAATAATTGCAAATTGGATACCCATTTTAGGTAATTTCGACATTCCGGACGTTCGGGCGCAGTCCGTTTCGCCGTCAGAAGTCGTTTTGACGAATTCATCGATTTGGGTGCCAATTTTCTCGTGTCGAAAATATGGCAATATGAGTGTACTTTCCTACCAAAATGGGTATCCCGGACGCGTTGGCGCGGTCCAATTTGTCGTCGGAGGTCATCCGAAGAAGTTCGCATTTTCACCCGTTCTTTGGGCTTAATTGAAGTCCGATTTCGTGCAATTTTGTGAACTTTGTGTATTTGATGTGTATATGTGACGAAAAAGAGTCGTGACGATGTCTTCCTAAGGCTTGAAGTCCTATTTGGAACATTTCCCTTGAATTTTCGCAAAATAGCCCATAACCGCTCGTTCATAAGACGATGGTCTTGTGCCAAAAATGCTAGACATCAAAAGAAAATAAGAATTGGCTAGAATTTCTAGAATGGTGAGTCTCAATTCTAGTTTTCTAAGACGGTCAATAGGAACTCCTAGAGCTATATCCTAAGACCCTAGAAAAGGAAATGACCTCAAAAATGAGGTCAACACTCGGATGGTACAATATGAAGACCAACTCATTAACTATTGCTTTCATAGATGATGAAAAGCATTTCTCATATCAAACACAAACCAATTCTATATGAAAACCCCCACTAGAAGCAATCTAAACAACACAAAAGATCACCAAAGGCATGTGCAGTTACCACTAAAAGCTGAAAAAATGAAAGGAGACGATACTTCATCTCACTTTTCTTTTTAGCAAACCAAATAAAGTGATAATGTACCATTTAATATTTATCAACTTTCAATTTTTTATAGATCACTTGCCTTTAAACCCAAGCTGTTGAGAAACAATGAATACTCTCATAACAAAAGGATTAATAGCCTGCCCTCATACTATATTTTTCATTCATGAAAATTTTGGCCTCTTAATAGTTCACAAACAAGATTTTTTCTTAAGGAACTTCTTAAATAAAGAGGTTCCACAAAGCACAAAAAGGACAAGGAAGAAGAGTAGTGCTATACACTGACGGATGGAAACAGATGAAAAGTTAAATGACCAAAAGAAAATGAAGTAAATGATAGAGAGGGAAATGAAAGGCCATTATTTGTTGAAGGGTGGGTTGCATTTCATAGATATTATGCACAGTACGCTACATAAACAACATGTCTGCAGATTACCATAGCATAGTCCGTTGAATAACTAAAATAAGGCTTTCTCTAATATGATGTTTCACTTGGTTACGAACATGAAGATTGCAAAATGAAAGAAATTAGGTCCTCATCTGATCTCTAGATTAGTGAACTTTTTTGTTTGGACATGTGCATGCTCGAATTAGGAAAGAGGTTCTAAAAATGCTACGCAAATAGCTCACATTAAAATTGCAACTTACCATTGCATCAGCCCCATCAGCATATTTTCACCAAATGAAGCACTTGTAATAAGTTCAAGCCTCTTCCCAAATTTTAAATTAGAAGATGACTTTGATTGGCCTGATGGTCATCTGATTATTGACGCAAAAACTATACCAAAGTAAATAAGCCCTTTATGAAGCAACCAGAAAAACTTATAACTAGAGCAAAAAAGTAACTATAATTCTTTGGTTTGCACAATACCAAGTTGCATGACTATCATAATCTGTGTGAATTATTATCTCATAAAATTTTCAAAATATCAATAGCATGATTGAAGTTTTCTATTATCTGATGAACTAATACTAGAGGATCATACAACTGAAGGGTGGATTCTGCACCAATGAGGACTCTTAAGTGATGATCACATATAACTCATTCCCTCACAGCTCATTATCAAACAACAGTGTCATCTACAAAGTAGAAGATTAATCAACTGATATTATCACAGAGAAGCACATTTAAATATTGACAAAAGCACAAACCTTCAATCTTGGGTGGCACGGTTCCAAGAGAAAATTTGCTGAACCTCAATGAGGTTATTCCTGGAGGACGATAGTCATCGAGTAGCGGTTCAACAGAATCTTTAACAACAACAGTGGCAGCCTAATCAAGGAACATAAACAGAAAAGATCACCATAAAGGCCAAATGTGAAGACTGAACATTAAAATACTTCATCAAGTATTAAAGTCTATGCCAATATCCCATGATGAAGTAAAATATATAGGAATATATCCAACAGGTTAAGATATAAATGAATAAATAAAATGAGCAAGTGCCAAGAATTACAAAAAATTGCACAAAATGTTTAGTTTTGAAGAATTTTCACAGATTTAAAAAGTTAAATAGAAGTATAATCTCGATGTCCAATGATCGTCACAAAGAAATTATATCAAGCACATCTTCACACAGCTAAGGGCTCAATGTTGAAGATCAAATTCATTCCTACGTTCCAACATTTCTTTAGGATTAAAAAATAGAAAAGTTTGTTCCAATAACAATGATTACAAGCAAGCATGGTATAATGCATGGGAATAAGACGTGACAAACTAAAGGAAAGTGATGAAAGTATATCAATTAATGAAATTAAATAGTGACGGCTACAAATTGTCTTAGATTACAGAATGCATGTTGATATTGTAAACCCTCCAAGAAATTTATCATCTCCTCGAACTTAATTTAACTTCATGAAAATTCTGCAGAAGGAATTAAAGCATACTTCAGCAATAAATGGCCATAGTTTGCTCAGCTGTTTATTTAGCCACTTCACCTGCATGGAACAAGACATAATGAAATCATTGGAAAGAAAAGGATAAATAAACCAACATAAAAATTTAAATTATTATCTAAATTATAAAAACTAAATCCCTAAGAAACTTAAAAAATAGATATGTAAGGTAATCAGTGGATACAAGAAACAATTGCCAATTAAATTACCTAAATCAGCCTCTGGGTTACGTCAAAGGACTGCCTCTTCCATTTAAATCTTATTGAGAATATGTTTAGAATCTTTAATTAAAAATTTTCAAACATATTTTCATCAAATTTGCAGTGACAACAACTCTGGCAATCATTATCATCATCCTTAGCCTTAACCCAACCAGTTGGGGTCATCATCATTTTCCTTTTATTCTTGTTAAGTGTCATTTTAGGCGTGAAGCCAATTTTCCAAAACTCATTTTGAATAGTTTCTCTCCATTTAATTAGGTCTAACATTTTCTTCCTAATCATCTGACACTAAGTTTATCACTTATTTAACAAAAATATTTGCTGCCCTTCATTATGAAAGTCCAAACCACCTAAGGCTATTTTCAATCAACTTATTTTCAATAAAAATCAAGACAAAAAAAAAAAGATAACTTGGTTCATATTCCAAACCAATGGTGTCCATACCAATAATTGAAACTTTTGATAACTTGGTTCATATTCCAAACCCAATGGTGTCCATACCAATAATTGAAACTTTTCAATGGCTCCTAATTTAACTTCTTCTCACGCCATTTAGCACAAGAGACAAAAGTGAAGGCAATGTAAGGGTCTACAACCATTGCCCATTCCATGTAACAAATAATTAACAAAGAAAAAAATGAAATTGAAGTACCGATAAAGAAAGACATAATAATTTAACAAAAGATGAATACAAATTAAACTGCCATTAAATTTTGAGTAACACGCATGGAATTGCAACCATGCATAACAATGGTATAAAGTTGAGTTCTTGTTACAAAGTACCTGCTCAAATGCAGGAAATGATATCCATTCAGGAAACTTATCGCCACAGAGTTTTCTCAAGTCATCCCTATTAAGAGATCCCAAAATTTTTATATCAACTGCCTGAACAAGAAAACCAGAATAAGCTATTTTATAGAAGTTCATCATTCAAGTAGAGAAAAATATTTGATAACGTGGTACACCTAGAAACTAATTGTAATATAAATCACAGATAAACATGCTCGTGCTATCTTTCCTAATGCATCTTTATGTTTAAAATGCAGTCATTAAATATCATCTATCATACATTACTCATAAAGGTAGAAATAAATATTGCATGTACTTTATACCAACCAAGAAATATCAGAAAACCAACTGTCAACTAAAATTAAATATTTTTACGTATATATGTTCTTACTTACCTTAATTACCTGATTAGTCTATTACTGTGGTTAGCTTTGCATTAAAATTTCCAACACATAATAAAGATCAGATTTTGCCCACTACTTATTTCTTCCTAAAGAAGAGACTGCAGGACATAACGTTCAAGCACACCTGATTATATCCAACATCACTCTTTTATGCCAAATCATACGCAAGAAAAAAAAAATTTTAATAAGCTAGATCCATTGAAAACATTGAAATTTCATTTTCATATTAAAAAACTACTATATATTTGCAAAACAGATATTCATTCTGGGAATAAACTGTAAAACTAAATGTTCATTACTTCTCTACTCATGCGGATCAAAAGAGACAGTTTCTGATGAATAATAAAACAAGATTCACATGATACATTTATATTTCACTGGCACTTTTTCTGATGGCAAATCAGAAACCGAAATTTTAAAAAGAGAAAATCAATATAGCCACATCATTGATAAAATTTAACAAAACTTTCATGTAAAATATTTTTATTTGTTTGCAATATAGATTTCTACTGTGTAAAAAAAGAATGAAACAAACTGAGGCTTACTTGTATACACACATGGACTTGAGATAGAGGTAGATTGTCTGATTTAATAATAAAACATAATTTGCATGTCTACAGATCACTTCCACTGCCGTTAACCAAAATTAATTGACATGAGAATCATGTATTTTGCACCGGCACAAAATATAAATCATTTTTTTTTTAAATTTGAGTGAATCAGTCACAAACACATACATGTACTGAATATGCAAGGCTTTGAACCCATGGCCATCTTGTTTGAAAGACTAAGCCCTCAACTAATAGGCTAACGTGGCATATATACAATATCTCCAAATACAGTCATATAATCTAACAAGGCTTTTCAGGAATACTTCATAAATAAACCTTATGGGCTCTAGAGGCCCATATCCGAAGGTACAGTTATTTTTGAACTGAGCCTCAAATTGGTTCAAACTGAACCAAGTAAAGAATTGGTCGAACTAATCCAACCTATCGGAGTGGTCGAACTGAGCCCACCTACCGTAATGGTCGAACTGAGCCTACATGTCTAAATGTTCGAATTGAGCCAACCTACCGATGTGGTCGAACTGAGCACACCTAATAATGTGGTTTCTACTTGTTAATATAGTCGAATCAACACAAACCATTGGGGAATAACATCATACACATAAGGATATGTGTCAATCTTCCCTTATGGCACCACCTGACACCCGCATCTCAATCTTTTCACTGAGATAAATCAGACAGATGTTGTATCTTGCGGAATATAATTTTATATTTTTTTCTCTTATAAATAAAAAGAGGTGAGAAGGGCTCGTAGAGGGATTCCTTCCTTTTTTCCTCTTTCAAGGATCTCCAAAAGGGTTTGACACACTCTCTCTCTCTCTCTCTCTCTCTCTCTCTCACACACACACATTACAGGGAAGCAGAAATCCTTGTATCACCTTTCTTTGCACCTTCCTCCTAAATACAGGGTCTTTACCGGGTTATATGAACTCAAGAACCGTACAGACCCTGCGTCTTAAAAGAATTCAACAAATACAAAATATAAATTTTCATTATAAACCTAAGTAACATATAAACGCACTCAAATACATAAAAATGTCCCTCACCTCAATATTTCAATATTTGGGATCAGGTGACTTGCAAAAATAGAGATTAACCTAAGAACAAGAATCAGGGAAGAGAGGGAGCGATCGAAAGTGCATAAAGCGTCGAAGCCATAAAGATACCACAGGAGGCATCACAAGGCATATGGCTTCTCCTCTACTTGATTGTAAACAGCAAAGTACACATAAATTTTAGGCATTCTTGTTTTAGAGTAATCCGTGCCCCAACCACACACCAAAACCGATAGATACGATAACAACCGCCGTCCTTGCAAATTAGAGGCAAATAACAACTACTAACATCTAACATTGCCAAAGTTCAAACATCAGAAAAAAAATCTAAAAATTACAAACGGTGTTTTCGCTGACCTTACTTATCCTCTTGGTGCTCCGGTGCATCATCATGCGGCTCCAGCCAGCGACCAGTGCAATCCCCACCAAAGTCCCCATCACGAATCCCGATATAAACCCCATCTCTTCTCAGAAATGCAATCCTTTTAGCCCGCACAGAAGCGATATAACTCGCACAAAAACCACCGTTTCACTCTCTCCAACTCCAAGACCGTGCCCTCGAGTCTTCGCTCCTGATTTCTACGAGAAATCGGAAATAACCATACAATCAACTGAAATTCCCGGAAAAATCGATGTTACCGAAGAAGATTTGATGGGTAACAGTTTAAAATGGCAGGAGACGTACGTAAAAAACAGGAGATCTAGTCGTCGAAAATTCAAGACGAGGAGCGTAAGAGATGGCTCAGTCAATTGCTCCGGGAAGAGTAATAGCAGCGGACCCCAAGGTATAAATGGAGAAATCGGCCGGACGGTTTTCGGTATTTAATACTTCGGAAGGCAAACGGTTTAATTTTGGCGTTTTTAACGGGCTGCCCAGCGATAAATTTTGATTTTACAGAAATGCGATACGAACATTATCCGTATTTGCATTCCAAACCCCAAATTTTAATATTTGAATTCAGTGCATCAAATTTCAAAAATCACATACAAACGTTCAAAAAAATATTACATCAGGACTCCGCACGTAATGAAATCATGCCGCACGTGAAGGTGAGAAAAAAAAACCGGTCCGGTAACACAGAGGAATATTTCTCCCATATTATTCAAGTGTTATTGTGTGTTATTCAAGTATTATTAATGTGTTATTGTGTTATTTTAACACCAGGAATATTCCTAGAACACAATGACACATGAATAACATACAATAACACATGAATAACACGGGGGAATATTTCCCGGTGTTACTTGTGTTACCGAGAATATTTCCTTGTGGCGTGATTTAATTGGTTTTCGCACGTAACTCTACGTGCAGAATTCTGATGTAATATTTTTTCCAAACAATCACTATCATTTATGTTTAAAAAATTAAATACATATTTTCATACATAAATTTATCATATGAAAAATATTTAAAATTATCAAAATAATTTTAAAGATATTTGAAATATCTTAAAATAGTTACTCCTGCATTTAAAACTCAACGGGTGCTCTGTATAGTTGCCCCAATTATAAAATCTTGAGCCCGGGGCTTGGTACGCAGAACAGTGAAAGTATTATAAATGAAAACTAAATATAAGAAAATGAATTGCGTAAATTTAGATACATAATACTGATGTATTTATAGATTTAACACCTCATATCTGATATTTACATTCAAAATACTTTGTTCTCATAAACTTATGCATGAAAAGTTATTTTCATTTTTAAAATATAGTTTCTATGACATCAATAAAATTATCATATGGCATGAATCAAGAAGCATGACTCATATCTCAGAACGATAGTTTGAGTAAGAGACATTTAAATTTAAGTTAAATGTCATCCACGACTTTATTTTTAGAAAACTTACAGTTAAACTAATCGGTTTGACGAGACGGGCCCAATGCTACCAAAATTGGTCCAATCCAAACCAAATCAAAACCCGATCAAGTCATTAAACCACTTGTAGAAGCTTCTCGAACATATTTAAAAAGACAAATGAATGTCAAATCTATTGAGCTTATAGTTGCCTCGAGTGTCTTAGAAAAACAAATTTAATGAGCTTAAGATCGTTCAATTTTTGTTAAGACATTCAAATGTTCATCAAATACAGTATGATCGAGGGAATCTCGTAGCGTCGTTCGATCAGAGTGATTCGGATTCTTTCATTAATTACAACCGGGTGCCCTAGAGCTTGAAACCTGAATAAGACTGAAACTTAAAAAAGAAGTTGAAGTCCAACATCACTTCTACACCGGCGATACAGCCAACGCCTCCTGTGGCCACCGCTGCCTCTTCCGGCTCCCCACCATCGTCTCTTCCGGCTGACGTCGCCTCCATCTTTAGTCACAATCACCTCTAGTCGCCACTGCCGCCATGGGGTGCTGCGATCGTCGGCTCCCTACCGCGAGGCAACAAGTTGATATGTGCACCGACATTCTAGCCTCAGAGACTATGTAACTCTTTCTTTCCCACTATTGGGACAAAGGTTATATATGTAATTACCAACTTATAGTGAATTTCTTCAAATTGGTCAAACCTCATTATCTTTCTCTTTTCTAGGTTTTTCATGTAAAAATCTTCTGATGTTTCTGCCCATCATTATATTATCCAAGTGTATATTCGATTCTCGTGCAATGATAATATGTTGATCAAACACTTCACCATCGTGAATTTTCTTGCATTGATTAATTTGGCGTCGTCTGTGAGAAGCGTGCAATCACACCACTAAAGTACTTGTGAAACTTGTTGCATAGTCACCAAACGCAACACTTGCAATCACATAGCATCCCACTCCAACACCTATCATTCTAGAGGTCAGCCACAGAGTCAAGGGCATCAAGCCTCGGCATCTTCCCACCTTGGAAGGCATTACCCTACAAGCAAAGGGGCATCAATTCCTTTTCTGGAAAATCAAGTAAGCAGGGTAAGGGAATCTCAACAGGAGATTCTACAGCATCTACGCGGGCTCGACAACCACTATTTGATGGAGCTTACTTGCCACCAATTCAGCAGTTGACCTGAAATGTGCAGCTCGAAAATACTCGTGTTGGGTCATTTTACTATGAGGAAACCTTTCCCCTATCAAATTGAGATGCTAACCTTATGGAAACTGTAAATTTTACTCATCTATTTCACGTGGCACGCCTAGCACCATCGCACCTTGCTCTCGTTCCTAATGATGTTCTACAAAACCTTGTCCAAGAAGTGTTCCCTCTAAGGAATAGGGATTGCTTCCCCACTCGCCTAAATTTCTAATAATCCTCTTCTTTAGTGGAGGTGGTTTTCCAGCACCCAATCCAAATATGCTTCAAACTCCCGAACATTATGAGCATGTTGACCACTATTGAACCATCATGCACATTTAATGGGCATCTGATGTGATTTTATGTCAAGTAGTCTTGACCACTCACAAGGGTCAAGCTCACACTTGGTTCTACACTATTTTGTCAGGCACTATCAACACCTTTAATAAGCTTTCCTGACTATTTGTGGAGCAGTTCATGGTGAACCAAAAAATCATCAATGATTCATCCCATCTCTTGACAATCTGTCAAAATAAGGGAGAGTTGCTCAAGTATTACTTTGGCAGATTCTCCACTGGAGCCCTTCAGATTCTTAGAGTGGATTTTGAGTTTTTTTAGAGGGTCTTCCTCTTGGCGCTCCACCAAAGACCTTTTAACTTTTCACTGATGCAAGAGATAGGCCACTCAGACCTTATCCACCATGTTGAGGTCAAAATCACTGCACACAATGCTATTAGTGCACACAAAAAGCAATTCAAGCAATTTAGGGGAAAGCGCAAGAAAATGTTGGAAAGCACCAATCAATCCTCACAGCAGAGAAACCACAAACGTCAAAGGAATTGTGACATCCTTCCCCATAATAAAAGTCAACAAAGTGAGCATTACCCAAGTAGAAGTATACACTGCTCAATACATCGCATTTTAATATCCTACAAAATTCAGAAGCTGCAAAAAGATTAATTAAATGGTCAGTAGAGTTGGGAGGGTTTCAAATCCGCTACTGATCCTGACTTTCTATATATATAGAGATGTAAAATGCAATGTATGCGATTATATTTATAGCATTTCAATATGGGATATTATGCAAGTATATGTATCGTTATCAAGTAATATAAAACTTTTTGATTAAGTCTCAAATAAGTCTCAAATATTGAATCCACAGGAAGGATTAGTTTTAGATAACAAAATACTTGACAATTTATATTCTTACTCAAACATGAAATGTTATAATAGGAATAAAAGTTCAATTTTTCTTGTAATTTTTATATAATTGAAAATAAAGTAAGCAACTAATTAACTTAACTAAAATACTTAGAAGATGAAGGCAATATAAGTAAAATATATTTTTTCCTTATCATGAATGAGTGGTAAACATATAAATTCAGTTGTGGAAGTATGTTAAATGTGTTGTGTCAAATAGAAGCAATAATAATCTTTACCCTTACTAAAAATGTTATAAAGAACATTGGTTACTCTATAGTTTGAATAACTTTGAAGACCGACTAGGCAAGGAAGATACTAGCTCTCACTCTAGAGTTCCCTCTTCTCCCTCCACCTGGGGGCTAACATCTCGTATCAAAATCTAAAATTATAAATCAAATTGAGGGCTTTAGTCTGTCACTCTAAAGTATTCTAATTCTACACCCTCAAAAATATATTTCTCTATTTATTTGCACTCAACCCCATGAACTACATTCTCATTCATGAAATCAATATATGATTCCAACCATTTCTTGATTGAGACAATACCATCTCGGATCTTACATGTTCTCACAACAGGTTTTACCATCTTAATTGGCCAAATCAAGAAGTAAATGAAGTGCAAGGTCTTGAATCATCACAACTTCTTCCAACATTTTAAATATTTTATTACTTATCATTTTAAGGAAAAAGATAAAGAAAATTACTTAAAATCCATAGAGAAAACATAACCACACATGAGTTTAAAAGTAGAAATCATGCACACAAACAAGAAATCTAAATTAAAAACCAAGTGTAGTCATAAAGATAAACACTTATCTCAAATTCTCTCCACCAAATGTCTTGAAGTTCTTTTGAATTCTCTTCATTCTCTCACAATACAAATTAACACTCAAAATAAAATAAAATAAAGTAAAGGTGCCCAGCGGCGGCAACAGTTGTAAATTTTGGTGGTTGCTTGTTGGCCCCTTCTTTTGGAAAATCTAAGTATTTTCTTATAAAAATCCAAGAGGTGTCTTGGTGTCTCTTCAGAAAGGTGTCTCCATTCAATGAAAGGTGTCTCCATTCAATGAATTCCATTCAATGAATCTTCTAAAAGTTGTCTCCTTAAAAGTCAATTGAATGAATTTTTGTGTCTATGGGCTTTTTACCACATTTTTATCAAGGTTTGCTTCAAACACCTCTTCAAAATTCCGCTCCAATTAATTTTTCTTCAAGTAATTAACTTTGGCGCTTAAGCGCGAAGTACGTGGAGCTTAGCCACCCCAGTTTATTTTTGCACATTTCTTCATTTTTGCTCCAAATTTGACCCTTTTTCACTTTTTTTAGCATTTTTCATTCATTTGATTGTACCTATAAGAAAAACACACAAGTACATTGTACCTATAAGAAAAACACACAACTACCTTTCATTAAAGCGCAATATCTCAAAAATAGGTATAAAAATGTGTAACAAAAACACTATATATTTTAGGTGTATCAGCTACCAACCATGATCAAACATTAAATCACATGTATTTACTAACTTTATAGTGGAGTGCACAGTGCTTGCTTAACAAGCCGCATTTTTCTCC